GAGAAAGAGAAGGAGGAGGGGCGGCGGCGCTGGAGGTTCGGCGCAGGGAGGAGGAGGCCGAAGCTAGGGAGAAGATTTTTAGGGTTTTTTTTGTTTTGGTGAGGCTCCGATACCATGAAGAATTGTATTTTTCATTTATTAATTATGTGAGGAATACATGTATATATATACAACATCTCAAATCTAGTTATGGTAGGAGAGGTATTCTAGGGAAGCTATACAAGTATGGAAACAAATCATAATACAATAATATTAAATATATTTAACACCGGCTCAACGTCGAAAGTTGCATTGCTTGACTAACTGTTACTTCATTAATTAAAGAAGCGCAGACAGTTTAGAGATCCATTTTGATTTATTCCATCACACCCAAAGCCAAAAAATGGTAAAATTTTGGCTCCATCGGAGATGATGGAACAGTGTGGCTCAATACATTTTTGCTAAATTATAGCTAGCAAAGGTTGGAGATGATCATGTAAAATGACTTGCTATACCACTATTCACATGTTAATAAATAGCTTTAGCAAGCCATGTTTAGCAAACGTGATTGGAGATGCTCTTATTCCGTTGAACGTAGGTTATCATCGTTTTAATCAAAGCATGATTTAATTGCCTTATTCTTTAAATATGAAATACTTTAGAAAATAAGCAGTCAAATTTGAGCGATTAGGCATAAAATAAAACAATTGGGATTTAAAACATTTAGGCTGGTTAAGTAAAAATATTAATTTTGTGGGAATGATGAGGTTAAATTTGTTTGTTTAAGTGTAAAGTTGTTACCAATAAATCACTACTCTAACTTATTGGATTATTAAAGAGAATTGAATATAAAAATGTACTATATCATTTCGTTTCATCCAAACCGGCCAAACACAAACTATAAGAGTCACGAACAGGGTTGCTCACAAACTATAAAAATTTGTTATTTGTGTATTTTAATTTTAATTATTTAAAATATTTTATGAACTTAGTTTCTGTTTTTTTGAGTTAGATTTTGGAAGATACTTGAAAGAGTTGGAAAAAACTGAAAGAAATGGGAAGAAACTGAAAGAAGTTGAAAAACTTTGGAAGAATGAAAGAGTTAAAAGTTACTCAATTAAATGATTACACAAATAAATATGTTAAAAACTCTAATTTTAAATAAAACAAATAAATTTTTGTTATGTTTGAAGTGATATGTTATAAATTTTGAAATACAATGGTAATCTATATTAATCATATATAAATACTTTTTTTAAGTCGTTGTTAGAAAAAAAACGGGAAGGAATTGGAAAAAACTGGAAGAAGTTGGATGAAATTTGAAGGAATTGAAAGAAATTAAAAGTTAGTTTTTCCAACCTAAAAGAACATGGTTTTAATGAGATACACAAATAACATGTTTGCAACTTTAACATTTCTCGATAGACCTACGTTTTGCACCGTTTTTTGTTGACTTTCTCATACAAGAAGCATTTTCTTTCTCTTTTTTTTGTTGTAAAAAATTCCTTATTAGAATACTAAATAAACATATGCTTACCATTCTTATATAAGATTCATCTAAAATACTGTATATTTTACTTTCACAAAAAAAAACACCCCAAATAGAAATAAACGTAGTATTTATACTCAAAATAGGAATTTTATATTTTTATCCTCATGATCAAAATATGAATTTACACTGCAACATTATAGTATGACATTATATAATAGCATCTCACTGTATTTCTTGGTACTATATAATGACATTGTACTCCTATTTTGGGATGAAAATATAAAACTTTTATTTTGATATTTTCTTTATGTTTTAGGTGAATTTCCCTTCTAACATGTTTCTCACATTCTTTCTCTCAAGCCACCAATGAATAGTCAATTTCATAATTGGGCAGTTGAGCTAATTTAGATAATGTTTGTTTTGTTCACTCATCCAATAGTTTAAATTTGACTATTGATAAAATATGGTGATCGTTGGGCCTTGGCATCTTATAAGGTGCCCGCTCCATTTGTCAACGTCTGGTGACTTTTATTGGTGGAAAAGCTTTATTGGTGAATCATGGATGGGGCATTATATTGCTGCTGGTTGCCGCATTGGGTTGGCTGTTTATATTGCGGGGTTAGAATGGTCGATTTTGTTCCACTAACCCCCTGTTCCGTTCAACTTATTTTTTCTTATTTTTTCTTATTCTTATTAAAATAAGATTAGATCAGATCAGATCAGATCAAAACTAATCAGATCAGATCCCATAAAGAATTATTATTATTATTGTTGTTGTTGTTGTTGTTCTTATTATTATTATTGTTGTTGTTGTTGTTGTTATTGTTGTTGTTGTTGTTCTTATTATTATTATTGTTGTTGTTGTTGTTGTTCTTATTATTATTATTATTATTATTATTATTATTCTTAAAAATGAAAAAGAATAAACTTTAGAAACAAGTTATAGAGAAAACTGAGAAATTAATCCTTAATTATTAGACATCAAAAAAATTATTTTTAAAATACATTGACAATGTCAATCTAATTCTACTTTTAAAATATATTTTTATTGCTACCTGTAATTTGAGTTTCTAAAGTTTTGCTCTTTTATAAGGATGAGATATTTTAATAAAAATACTATCTCTTCTCTGTATTGATTTTATATAAATTAAATATTTATTCTAATGTATGTATGAACTAATTATTAAAATATTAAATCAATATTCTTATTTCACAAACAATAATCATAAAATAAAAAATATTATTACATTAAAATATGAATGATTATTCTAATATATAAATTAACTAATTTTATTTTATTAAAAAAAAATTAAAAAATAAAAAATATTGNTTTTGCTCTTTTATAAGGATGAGATATTTTAATAAAAATACTATCTCTTCTCTGTATTGATTTTATATAAATTAAATATTTATTCTAATGTATGTATGAACTAATTATTAAAATATTAAATCAATATTCTTATTTCACAAACAATAATCATAAAATAAAAAATATTATTACATTAAAATATGAATGATTATTCTAATATATAAATTAACTAATTTTATTTTATTAAAAAAAAATTAAAAAATAAAAAATATTGATTATATTATAACTGTCAGAAAAGATTTGATAAACCCAATAATTTATCAATAGTTGTTGTAGATAAAACTAGTATCCCCACACTCGTCCATTACACGGGTCATATTTACGTTACTAAATTAAACTCATTTTTGATTGATAGAAAATGATATCTAATAGAATATAGAGATTTATTATTTTAAAGTACAAAAGTTTTTTGCTTACAAATGTCGAAAGACTTCTTTATAAACTTCATTATTCGTAAAATATCTAGAAATATTGTCTTCGTTGCATATCAGAATCTGCAACATACAATTCCTTTATCACCTACCTTTATTATTATTACATTAATTATTATGATTATTAATATACGGTACCATATTATTATCATATTATTATTATTCTTTTACATTTTACCATTTTTATTATACAGGGTACTAAAATTTATAAGGCATGCAATTACCTTATTAATAACTAATAATTAAAATTTCACATGTTCCCTTTTTTATTACACGGTACAAAAAAATATAAGGTATAAAATTACCTTATCAATTATTAATTTTATACTCCGTAATTTATAATTTTGGTAAAAACTATACTGCCAGGGTAGGGAGGGGGCAAGAGGGGGGGCTGGGGTCGGGGGACAAGGGTGGGGCTGGGGTCGGGGGCTTAGGCGGGGTTAGGGGACAGGAACCATCATTTTTACAAACGGAGCACCGTAGATATCGCAAACGAACTGGTGTAAGCAAATGACACCAGTAGCACTGGTGTCATTTTAGACTCTCATATATATATATATATAATATAATTATATATAATATATATATATATAATATATATATATATATATAAAATATAAAATATATATAATATATATATATATAGGGGCGGTTCCTGTGAGAATGGACCCTAGTGAAAGAAATAAGAATAAATCCGACTCTTTGGATTTGATGCATCGTGTGGCCATAGATTGATTGGGATGGGGTTAGCCGTGTGTATTATATTTGGAAAGTAATAATTATAGTGCATTTAAATATGGTTAATTTGGTTAAAAGGGGTATATTGGTATTTTCAAATGCATTAAAAAAGTTGCAGAAATATTCCTTATTGATGTTCTCAGCCGCACACCCCTTATTAATAGCTAGACACGTTAGAGAGGAGTAATATATTATAATATTAGTTTGATTTCATTTAATATTCTACTATACTTTATATTTTACGGAGTATATATAACTTTTTGTGCATAAGTCCGTCTTTGACAAACAATATACGGTTGGAAATCTCTCATTGGGATCTATCCAACGACATCAATATTGAATATAAAATTTTGTTATTATCTTCTTCTCACGTTCTAAAATAAAAAAAAGTTAAATTTATTAACAATTATTCCTCAATTATTTAAGAATAAATTTTAGGCCGATTTTTTGGGCTATTACACGCTCTCTTAATGCGAATGCATTGTCATGGCCAATATGTGCATTGTGATTTGTCCTTTAGATTTTTTCAAGTTTTATTCTATTAAACTATGGATTAGTAAATAATGACTCATGACTCACTTTGAATGTAATGAGAATATCCGGGAATGTGTTGTATTTAGAAGAACTGTAATACAAATTTGAGAAATAGTTTGCCTATGCGGAATTTGAACCCACATATGTATTACATACCGCTCTACCATTTGAGCTAATAGGCAACAAATTGTCTTTTTCTCAAAGAGACTCGCATCTTTCGCTTCAACACAATGCATCATTAAACATTTTAAATGCATCATCGTTTGTAAAAAAATTCAATATCTAGAATATAATGCACTGTCACAAAAATTTCACGATTAATGCATCATTTTTGGTTTGAGAATGCATAGTAACAGAATGCATAAATCTTTCCCTCGGTGCAGAGAATGCATTGTCTTCTCATGCAGATGCATTAGCTTTACTCTGGTAATGCACTATAACAAAAAAGCAAACAGAAGTAAAAAAGAAGAAAGAAAATACCTTGATCACTACAAAAATTCCAAACTGATTTGGATACGCGACCGAACAGAATTTGTGAAAGAATTCTCTCAAGGTTACAATTTAAGCCACCATAAATAGCAGCAACATAAAAACAACGAAAAGGAGAAACGAAGTATGTCTAAAATGTAGGAATAAACAATACATATGTAGTGATTTCAAAAGCTCCATATCTTTCTGCATCTCTTGTGTTTCTACACGATAATTAACGTCTTCACCCATCTCTTACAGTTCATACGTACTCCCTGATTGCAACTTTTCAAACTACATAATATAAGATGCTATTGCATGAAAAATCAATCATGTAATGCATTGAAGGTATAATATATTGCAACTCTATACTCTTAATTACGCATATAATACTTGATCAATATTTTCTTGTTCATAAACAATTAAAAATCATTCATGCCATTACTAGAAAGAGATGATGAAAGCCAAAAGTGTTCTCACTGATATGCCAAGAGATATACCATATGATATAAAGACTGGTTATGAGTGCCTTTAAGGGGTTAAACTAAGACATGAATGGTGTGATTGGGTTTGGGGTTAATTATTCCTCCAAAATCTAGGATTATTTGTTGGCTCTTATGGAGAGGAAGGCTGCAAACGAAGGACAAATTGAGCAGATTCTTAACCACAAATACAAATTGTGATATGTGTAATAGAAAAGAGGAATTAACTACTCATCTCTTTTGGCAATGTGAATTTGCACAGAAATGATACTTTTCATATAAAGTTTTAGTCTAATTACCTTGAAGAAGTTGGAGTAGAGTTGCAGAGAATTAAATACACATTCTTAAGCACTTGCATTACTGAGAAAATAAAAATCAAGTGTATCAACATCAAAGATGAACATAAATGTGCAGCAGATGGATATTGAAATGCAACATAAATGTGCACCATGTGAAATTAAAGGCTGGATGAAGAACTCGAAGATCACAAACAATGCCTTAGTGCATAAAATGTAATAAACTCATCTGTCAATCCTTTGTCATCGTAATTCTTAACAAGCTGTTGAATCACCGACTAGAAGCGCAGCTCAGGTCACTGCTGTTGCACCGCATCGGAGGGCTGCTGCCGCCGCACAGGACTCGCCGACCTAGTAGCCACTGTGGCTTCCACCGAGAGCCACCATCGTCTTCGTCAGAGCAGCCGCCACCGCTCAAAAAGCCAATCGCTACCTCTGCCGGCTCTCAGGGGAAAGTCATCACTAGGAATAGTAGCCCCAATCCTCACTACTCTTCTCCGATCTCTTTTTTCGGTACCTCTCTAATTGGGAACTCATTAATCTTGGTTATCGAGAAGAAAATCAATCCTGTGAGAAAAATTGAGAAGGAATCTTGGAGAGAGGATGTTGAAGACCTGATTTTGGGGAGAGAAGATCGCATTATTTAAGAGAGAGAAACCAAAATATGAGAATAGTACATATTTGCCCCTATGAAGTGCCGAAGATAGAAGGCTTGTAGTGCTTGATCGAACTTCTGAAATTCATTCTCATTTCTTTCATAAGATGTCTTTCTCACCAGAACCTATATATATATATATATATATATATATATATATATATATATATATATGTATGTATGTATGTATGTATATATGTATATATGTATATATGTATATATGTATGTATGTATATATATATATATATATAGACGGTTTCATACACTTGGTTATTCTGCCCCATTTGTTTTTACCGTAAGTAGTTTCCGTCAGTTAAGCACAATTTGTCATATGTAACCTTCGTGCACTTGAGTAACATTTTGTTGTCCCAACAAATCTATACTGCCTAATCAATCCCCTTCGACTTCTTCACCAGTTATAACTTAGGCTATGTTTGGATTGAGGGAGGGTAAGGTAAGATGAAAAAATTTCCTTGTTTGTGAAAAAAATTGAGATAGGTAAGAGGAGGTGAAGGGAGGTAAGTTAACCTCTTAAAAGTGATTTTAAAGCTACCCGCTTATTTGGCGATAAACCCGAGTTAAAATTTCGTTTCCCCGTTGTTCTTCTCCACTTCGGTTTTATTTTATTTTATTCTTGTTGGATTTCATACTTGACCGAGAAGAAAGAAGATGAAGAAGAGGAGAATTGGAGAAAAATCTCTCATAACTCTGTTTGTGATTATTACATCCACTTAAGAGGAAAATACAATTGTGCTATATATATGTAAAGGAAAGGAAAATAACCAAAATGATAACCACCATAACAGAAATTATCAACTCGTAACAATATTACGATATTCCAACACTTCTTTCCTCCATTTCCATTGTTTCCCCGCTGCACTTCCCCACTACACTTCCCTGTTTCACTTCCCTGCTGACAAAGATTGGGGATTTCGCAAGCTGTTAACTTTTCCAAGAAGAGAGAGAAAGTTTTATTTGATGGAAAATGTAATTATTATCTCAACCTTTAAGGAAAGAGAGGTACACACACACATATATACATTGCAACAGAGAATACGAAATAGGGCACGTGTCCTAAAAGATCAAAACAGAAAAACTAAAAGTAGTTTTGGAACAGCTGGCAGATAACTCTTCTGTACAGCTGGCAGGTTAGCACCTATCTTCACACCCCCCCGCAAGCTGGGTGTTGGAGAAGTCATGCCCAGCTTGGACAATAGACGTTGAAACTGATATGCGGGTAGGATTTTAGTGAGCACATCGGCGAGCTGGTTTGTAGTAGGAAGATAAGAAAGTTCAATCAAGCTTTCAAGGACCTTCTTTCGAGTGTAATGACTATCAATGTCAATATGTTTAGTTCTTTCGTGAAAGACAGGATTTTTGGCAATGTGGATAGCTGATTGGATATCAAAATGAAGAGTAATAGGTTTAAAATCTGGAACACAAAGTTCTTCAAGCAGGCGGACCAACCAAGTGACCTTAGAAGCAGCTTGAGACATAGCCATATACTCAGCTTCAGAAGATGATTTTGAAATAGGGCTTTGCTTCTTGGATTTCCAAGAAATAGGAGAGCCTCCAAGAAGGATAATGTAACCAGTGACAGAACGTCAGGAGAAGGGACACGAAGCCCAGTCAGAATCTGAAAAGGCATGAAGAGATAACTGATCTGATCCTTTCATCAGAATCCTTTGGTCTATGGTTCCAAGGAGATAATGAAGGAGATGGATGGCACCTTGCAAGTGAGATTCCTCAGGATGTTGTATGAATTGACTTAAAAGCTGGACTAAATAGGAGATGTCTGGCCGAGTATGAGTGAGGAAATTGAGTGTTCCTATCAGGCTTCTGTAAACTACTGGATTAGAACAAGGAGAAGAGTCACCATATTGAAATTTAATGTTTTGAGGGAGAGGTGTTTTGAAAGGTTTGTCAGCAAGAAGCTCCTGTGTGAATTTCCTTTGAGAGAGAGCAATTCCTTCAGAAGTATAAGAGAGATCAAAACGAAGGAAGTAATGTGCAAGACCCAAGTCTTTGATGGTGAAGCTAGCATTAAGAAACCTTTTGAGGGAAGTAATAGCAACAGGATCTGAACCGGTGATGAGAATGTCATCAACATACACAGCAGCATGAGTAATGTGTGCACTGGTGTACTTAATGAACAAACTACGGTCAGATTTGGAATGAAGGTAGCCTTGGCTGCGAAAAGCACTAGATAGCTTGTGAAACCACTGTCAACTAGCTTGACGTAGGCTATACCGTGACTTCTTGAGTCGACAAACTTTAGTGGAGCAATTGGGAAAACCCAGGGGAAGCTTTATGTAGACTTCCTCAGTGAGGTCACCATGCAAGAATGCATTGTTGATGTCAAGTTGAGAAAGTTCCCAGTTCCTGGAAGCAGCAAGGGCTATGAGGCATCATATGGTAGACATTTTCACAATAGGTGAAAAAGTTTCAGTGAAATCAATACCATAGCACTGGTGGTTCCCTTGAATTACAAGTCGGGCTTTAAACCTCTCTAACATCCCATCAGACTTGAGCTTGACTTTGTAGACCCATTTGCTGGAAATAGCCTTCTTACCAAGGGGAGATCAATTAGTTCCCAAGTATCATTAGCCTGTAAAGCTGTTATTCATTTGTTCATAGCAATAATCTATATAGGATCAAGAGAAGCCTTAGAATATGAAGTGGGTTCAGTATAAGAGCAGAGATTAGTAAGAAAAGCTTGATGATGATGAGGTAGAGTATTTAAATAAACAAAATTACACCAGTAAGAAGACAAGGCAGTGGGAGGAGAGTGTGAGGGAAGAGTAGGGCAAATATATTGGTGTTGGTATGAGGGAGGTTTCCTGACCCTAGTGGAAATTCTGGGTGGAATAGGATCAGGAGTGAGAGTATGAGGGGAGCTGTTTGGAGACACTGAAGAGGAAGAAGATGAGGTATCTATGGATGGTGAAGAAAATGAGGATGAAGACGAGGTGGGAATTGGTGTATTTAGCAAGAGGTGTATGGGTATCAGGGGCTGTTTGGTAACTTCTGAATGGGTAAGTGTTGAACCAGTAAGAGGTCTGAACCATTAAGTGTTGAACCAGTAAGAGGTCTGAACCATTAAGAGCTAGTATATTGTTTAACTATTCAGAGGCAAATGTCTGATCAATTCAGATAAGAGCTCTTAACCATTCAGACTCTGTATAATACTTAACCATTCAGAGGCAAATCTCTTAACCATTCAGACATCTGAACCATTAAGAGGCTGAAACAAACAGTCTGAACCATTAAGTGCTGAATCATTCAGATATCTGAACCATTAAGAGGCTGAAACAAACAGCCCCTCAGTATCAAAGAAAGGATGAACGATGTTGAATATGTCAGGTGGAAAATTAAGTAAAATGGAAGAGGAAGTGGAAATGTGGTGAACGAAAGGGGTAATATTGTTCATGGAATTTGACATTTCTGTTGTAAAATATCTACCTTGTACATAAATCAAGAACTTTGTATTCCTTTTTGTGAAAAGGATTACCCAGGAACACACAAGAAATAGTTCTAGGTTCACATTTGGTTCTATGACAAGACAAAGAAGTGGCAAAGCACAGACATCCAAAAGAACTGAGATGGTCATAGGTGGGAACAGATTGAAAAACAATTTCATAAGGAGTTTTGTTACTGAGAAGGGAAAGAGGGAATATGTTTATTAGTAGGAAGTTTAGATTGAAAGAATAAAGCCCTGGCAGTTTCTAGAAGATGCTTGTGTTTTCTTTCAACAACCCCATTTTGTTGAGGTGTGTCAACACAAGTGGTTTGATGAATGATACCATTAGAGTGGTAAAAGGATTGGGAAGAAGTGTCATCAAATTATTTTCCATTATCTGAACGAATGACCTTAACTCTCACATTGAATTGTGTTTGAATGTAACTAATATAACTAATTAAGGATGGAAAGGCACATGATTTATGAGAAATCAATTGTATGTATGTCATTCTGGAAAAATCATCTACAATGGTAACAAAGAATTTGTGTCCAGAATATGTTGTGGTTTTATATGGACCCCAAATATCAACATGCAACATTTGAAAAATGAAAGTAGTTTTTATTGAATTAGAGAGGAGAGGCAGCTTATGCTACGTGCCTGTGGACATATGTGACAAATGGATGAAGAAGAAGTTTCAGTACAAGGAATGAGATCAATGTACTTTATTCTATTGTAAGGTAAATGGCCTAGTCTACAATGCCACAAGTCACTTTCAGACATATAAGATTTAGAGGAATGAAAAGAGACATGTGAAGTTGAGGGTATGTTCTGCTGAACAAAGTACAAGCCCCCATGCTGTTTACCAACCAGCAGAGTGTTCTTCTTCACATGATCCTGGATCAAACAATGGGAATGATTGAATATTAATGAACAGGACATATGTGAAACTAGTTTCTGAACAGAAAGAAGATTGAAATGAAAATCTGGAACATGAAGAACATCAAAGAGTTCAATTCCATTTTGTAACTGAACAGTCCCTATATGTAGAACATTGGCCTTTTGACCATTTGGTATGGTGATTGAACAAGGTTTAGGAATAGGCTTATATGAAGAGAAATTGTTTAGATGTGGCCTTATGTGATGTGAGGCTCCACTGTCAATGATCCATTGAGAATTATCATATGAAGAAAAGAAACAATGGCTAACACCTGCTAGATGAGTACTTGAGGCTAGATGAGTAGAGAGAAACCTAGGAGCTATGCCATCATCGTTGTCATGTGAATTGTCTTTGCTAAGAAGAGCAATAAGCTGATTATATTGAGAGCTAGTAAGAGTCATAGGCAACTCAACAGAAGAAGAAGCCTGATTTGAGTGAACGTTGTGTACATGCACATCTCTGTCATCTGCAAAAAAGACATTCCTAGCAACCTTCCTTCCTTGAGACAAATTGTGTTCTGTTGATAAGCCATTCCCCATATTATTTTTGGGATATCCATGCACCTTGAAACACCTATCAAGAGAATGGCCATAGATCTTGCAATGTTGACAGAAGAATTTAGATTTTCTCCCACTAGGAGTGGTTCCATACACTGGTTTATTAGAATGAATGCTAGAAGTATGATGTATAGAGGCTAAAGCACTGGAATCAGCAGCCAAAGGAATAGAACTACTGCAATCTCTCTAAGTTTCTTCTTGAGTAATCAGTTTATAAGCTTGATTCAAGGTAGGAAAAGGCTTCATCATCAAAATATTGCCTCTAGCAGTCTTAAAACTGTCATTAAGTCCCATTAAAAACTGTAAGAGTTGTTGATCCTGGATAAGCTTGATGTAACTCCCTGCACCATCACATCTGCAATGTGGTAATGTCATCATCTTCAGGTACACATCCCAAAGGCCCTTCAACTTAGTGAAGTATTCAGATACAGAATTTGATCCTTGAACCAGTGTGACTATCTCCTTGTGAAGTTGGAAGAGCTTAGGTGCATTAGTTTGACCAAAACGTTCAGCAAGATCGTCCAAAATCTCTTTGGCAGTTTCGCAGTATAATACGCTATTTGCAATTCCTGATTCAATAGAATGTAATATCCAAGAGATCACCAAATTATTACATCGATTCCACTGGGCGAACAAAGGAGATGAAGATTCTGGTGCCTTCGAACTTCCATTCACAAAACCTAGCTTGTTTCTCGCGCTCAATGCGATCTCAGTAGAGCATTTTCATTATGGAATTTTTTGCCATTTAATTTCTCAGAAGCCAGCGACAAACTTGGCGATTCGGTAGGATGCAAGTACAGTTCACTTTGAATATCTATTGAAGCTCGTGTGGAAGGATTTCTGGCCGCCATGGGTGCGAAGAAAAGAAACTGAATAAGGAAGAAGAGATCGAATTTGAAGAGAGAAATGAACCTGAATGATCACAATGATGAAACAATTCTAGAGATTGTTAGGAATCAGAAAAAAACAAAGATCAGAGATGAATTTTTCGATCGTCTTCAGGTTCTTATACCATGCTAACTTTTCCAAGAAGAGAGAGAACGTTTTATTTGATGGAAAATTCAATTATTATCTCAACCTTTAAGCCAAAAGAGGCACACACACATATATAGAAATATTTGCACTAAATAGCACTAAGACTTAAGTCATTTTTCTAAATAGTACTTAAATTGTTTTCTTTCCTAAATAGCACTCTATAATGTCCATAATGACCAGTGATGGCAAACATTCACTTAAATAATTAATGACTAATGGATAATGATTAAAAGTGCTACATTGAGAAAAAAATATATGTAGTGCTATTTAGGAAAAGTCATTATGTTTTAGTGCTATTTAGTTAAATTCCCCACATATATATACATTGCAACAGAGAATACGAAATAGGGCACATGTCCTAAAAGCTCAAAACAGAAAAAACTGAAAGTAGTTATGGAACAGCTCGCAGATAACTCTTCTGTACAGCTGGCAGGTTAGCACCTATCTTCACACAAACCAGCACCAATTGGGGAAATTCGTGAGTCTAAAGACAATTGTGAGGAGTCCGTGACCGTACCCTTGCCGGAGGACGCCAGAATTGAAGAAGACCCGCCGGGAGACTACGAAACAGGTCTTGAAGTATTCATTTTTTTGCTGTTTTTTTTTTCTTTTTTGTTCTTCAGTTTTTTTGGGTTTTTTTTGGCGGTTTTCCCCTTTTTTGTTTTATTTTTGCAAACTTTTTGTTTTTTTGAGTAAAAAAACAAGGGCATTTAAGTGAATTTGTTAGTCTACCTACCTCACATTACCTAATAAATATCCAAATACAATTTTTCAATTCATTACTTTACTCTACCTGCCTTCAATTACCTACTTTCACGTACGAAATAAAATTATCCTATCTCCAACCAAACATACCCTTAGAGCAAAGGAAATGGATGCAACGCCCACCTGTATTAAGCTCTTTTTTAATGCCCGGGGGTGTTAAACAGCGCCCCCTAGGGCTTCATCCTAGCATTATTCTTAGTGTGTCAAACGTTTAACGTGTATTTTTTGCAGTGAGACTCCCTTTCCAGCGGCTGTAAACCCATTACAATTAAAAATATATATTCAATATATAAATTAACTCATTTTTAACCCAAAAAATCACAAACAAAATCTCTCTTCTTCAACTTAAAAAAATTTTCTTCAAATTTTTTATCATGAATCCCTTGAATTGGGTTCTTCCGTTCCTTCATCCGATCTCGAGCCAAACGAGTACGCGATGTAGATTTGCTTTAGTTTTTAAATTAATGTAATTTTTTAAATTAAATGTAATTTTTTATTTTATGAATTATTGTCATTTAAATTTAATTAATTAATTAGGTTTTAATAATTTAAATTGAAAAAATGTTTATAAAAAAACAAAAAAAGGTTTGAATCTCCGGTTTGAAGCCCCGTCTTCAAATTCATTTCCACTCATTGAAATTTGAAATTGTGAGGTAATGTAAAGCTTATATGCGAGATAGAGAAATTTTGAAGAGCATTGTTTCAAAGGTGTTTGCAGCGCTGGTTCCAAGTTCCAACCAAAACTCCGGAAGTCGCAGGCTCGCCGCTAGCCATCCAAGTTACCAGCACCGCTGCAGTCCTATTCCGACGAGTGGCAACCAATACGTTTCTGATTTGGGTATTTCCAGATCCCTAATATCTTCTCTTTAATCCTTCCCATTTTCCAAATTTCTGCCGTTATGCCTGTATACCATTTTCTATTTTATCAATAAATGTTACGGAGTAATAAAACTCACCTGGAAAAAATTAGTGCTTTAGTATTTCTTCGCGACAACTGGTCATCCCAATTTGACATTATCTTTGGCTTTGCTTCTAGTTATAGTAGTGTGAAGTTTTTCAATCCTAATATGCATTATGTTTAAGCTTTGAAATTGATATTTCATTTTTATAATTACAAGAACAGGTGCTTCTACACATATTATATTATCATTTTTGAGGTAATTTTTATTGAACTTGATCATTTATAAATACTACAAGGCTGCCTACATCCAACCCCCTCTTACCTTGCAATGGGAGGGAACCTTTGAGGCATTGGGTAATGTTGTTGAATTGCAGGCTGACACCAAAGGTTATCTTTTTATTTCACAATCTATTAATTCATGTGATAGGTTAAGCATGTTGAATCCATCATTATTTCAATACTTCTTGAATCTTAACTGTGTGTTATTGCTGGCGAACATGTTTAATAAACTGCTGTTGTTGGATTCTTATTGAGAATAAGGAGATGGTCTTAGGTACAGAATCAGCATTACGGTTGGGCGTTCCAGATTCCATACATATATGTTATATATATATATATATATATATATATATATATATATATATATATATATATATATATTGAACCAAATAGTGGGAATGAGAAATAGTTTTATTGAAGAACGAAATCACACTGTGTATTGGGAACTAGATTCAGCAATCCCCCTATTTCTCCTTGTTCCAAACTAATACCATGAAGTGAACCAAACTACCAAATGCCATACTCTTTTTTTCATATTATTTACTCTTCAAATGAAACAGAATATGCATGAAAGGGGTTCCACTTAAATATTACTCCTTCCTTCACAAAATAAAGTTCTTGTTCACTATTTGCATGTCAAACTATATCTTCTTTCTTTATACATTTTGTTTTCAGGTAAGCTACTCAGTTGCATGACTGGACCGAGTAGATCAATCTTTTTATGTATCTGAACTTCTGACGGGAGCTTACACAGGAAGATATATTTTCTTCTTCCCAGAAATGATGTGGACGAAAAAGTTCATGAGTTTTACCGCATTATCAAGAACCCTCTTTTACCAATACCCAATCCTTTCTCCAGCGTTATCTAGAATCCCATTTAATTTCTACTCTCAAATTTCAATTTCATCATCATCACCATCATCATCATCATCTTCTCCAACCCATATTAAAGAAGCCTCTCCTTCTAGATTATTTCTGTGCCAAAGGCTTCATTTTCCAGGAGGAAATATATGTTCACAGAGTGCAAAATATTTTTGCACTGTATCTGCCGAGAAGCTGAAGTGTTGGAACTGTAATTCTGAGGCTCCAAGAACCCACCCGTTTCTTGTTTGTGAAATTTGTGCTAGCATTCAACATGTTGATGAAACCATTGATTATTTTCAAGTTTTTGGATTGTGAGTCTTCCAATTAGATTTTCTTTTATACTAATATCCCGTGGTTTCTTTTTTGCATATTTGAAATTATTATAAAGAAATGACTACAAAAAAAATTGCTTTGGAATTTCATTAATATCACAGCGTTTCTATGTGATGGTATCCAAACAAATTCTTACCTCCAATATTTATTTACTCCTATTACGTTAACTTTGAAAATGATCATGTTCTAATTGGCCATTAATTCAAGTTAGTTTTTAATGGCAGATTTTTAATTTCTTCTTAGTTAGTTTGTGCTAAATGCTATCACTTGTGTGTTGCAGGGAGAAAAAATATGATATAGAATGCAAGAATCTTGAGCACAAGTACAAAGACTGGCAGAGGAAGCTCCATCCCGACTTGGTTCATACAAAATCTGAGGTGCGCACAAACATACCCTCTCCCCGAAATTAGTTATCATTTCCGCCTTAAAAAGTTCTCTCAAAATATTTTTGGGACAAATGGGAGTATATAACGACATTTAGTTTGATGGTTTGACTTTTTGTGGATCAGTTATTTTTGTTGGTTCCGATGTTTTCCTTCCTTCAGTTGAGCGGTTGGTAATGTTAATTTGGCATTGTGTTAGAAAGAAAAGGAGTTTGCTGCTGAACAGTCTGCGCGTGTAATTGATGCGTATCGCACACTCTCAAACTCATTGTCAAGAGCAAAATATCTTGTAGGTTTCTTCTTTTTACTATGTTCTTTCACTATTCTAATTGAATGAGTTTCATAATAATATGCTTACAAGCTCAACAATAACGTCTGATTGAGATCAAGTATTTCAGATCATGTGTGACATTTGTGGTCTCAAAAAAGACTTCTCTTTATGTTGAATTTGAAATTTATAAACCTGACATTAGTGTTGCATGTGACTGATCTCAGCAATCAATATTCACACCAATTAATATGCAGTACCTTTTATTCTTCCTAACAATGGTCAATTTCATACTGCAATTTTTTTCCTCTCTTTATTTCTAGCAATTATTTATTGGGGTATTTTTTTTCTGGGTAAGGTGAAGCTGGAAGGTTGGTTTGTAGATGAAGAAGAGCGTATTTTGGATCCAGAGTTACTTGCGGAGGTAGTTTTTTTACTAGACACGGTTTTTTAAATCAATTTTCATTTACTGGCATTGGCCTATTTGAACTGCAGATTATGGAGATTAGGGAAACTATTGAAGAATCAGCTGACCCACAAGCGTTGAAACATATTAAGGCACAGGTACGAATATGAAAAGCCGGGGGACTCTTTGAAACAACCCCTTCCCCTAAGTAGGGGTAAGGTCTGCGTACACACACCCTCACGACACTACTTTTTGTGGGATTTTACTTGGTTTTTTTGTTGTTGTTGCATGAATGTGAAGAGCTCATAACATTCTCCCAACTTCTTTTTTTTGTCTTGCCAAAAATCTTATAGGAGTTCGGACTTTAAAATCTTGACACCAAGTGTCGGGGTCAGAATGTGAGGGCCATATTGAGGTCCATTTGATCCAAAGTGGGTCCTACCCCCCCCCCCTAACCCTAGGACTTACTAGAACATAGAGGTGAACCCGTGGCCCGGGGTCAAATGGAGGACAGTATGGACCTCCAAATGGCCCGGGTGTCATATTATGACACTAATGAAGGGTGTCAAAAGAACCTCACTTTGATAAAAACATAGAAGCATTATAAATTCTTTGATAAGGTCACCAAAACATTGCCATTTTTTGCTGCATTCTCATTGTATTGCAGCCTTTTCATATACATGATCATCCTTACTATGACTTTTAGCAAAATAGACACATGTAAAGGAACCATACAAAATGACTCTTCTACCCTTCTTGAATGTATATGCATTTTTCTCTTTCAAGAAACAAAAAAATCTAGTCGGAAGAGTTAGTAAGCACGGAGTATGAGAAAAATTTTAAGGTTAGAAAAAAACATTTTATCTCCTAAACAACAGTTATTTTGGTTAAAACGAGCCAAAACGGCATTTATTTGCAGGTACAAGAAAAGTACGAAGAGCGGGCAAGAGCTTTTGCTCTTGCTTTTGAGAATAGAAATGCAGAAGAAGCTCTTTCGTCTATCCAGAAAATGGCGTACTACAAGCGGGCAATTGAAGAAATTGTAAAAAAGCAATGACAATTGCCAAGAAATGATTTTCCAAAACAATGAACCAAATGACCTTTGAATGTGTAGATGAATGATTAGATATGAGCATGTTGCTTGTGATTCTAAATTCCACAATTTTATTTTTTAGTGAAGTTGAGTGGATAAAAAATGTGATACAATTCTCGAAATTCAATGAAAATTGTAATTGAATAAAAATGAGAATCGGATTAATCTGAATACAATTTGATTTGAATTGGATACGAATTGATGTTGATCTGATTCGACATACGGAGTAATAGTTAGTGAAAATGGATATGATTGTACAATTTGATTATTACATGTTATTACCTTCCCCCCTCACCCCTTATATAGCTTGCAGCCCTTACTACCACCTCTGCCGCCCTGTCCAAAATGCCGATTGGCTACGGTAAGATAGTAAAAACTGATTGGCATGCGTTTTGGGATTTTGGAGGAGTTCGGCCTTGGGGGAAGTAGAAACTACTTTCGGAGTCAATAGAACACCGTATGTGTTTATTAGAGTTTTGGGATTTTTGTTGTCAAAGAACCAAAAACCTTAGAGCACCAGCAAAAAAACTAAGGGAAAAAAAATCTCATCAATCTTTGTCTATTATACCTCTTCAATTTTATGTGATTTTTTTTCAATGGTCTCCCACCGGTGAGAAACACTCCACTTATATTCACCCTTCTCCCAAGATCAAATAAACTTATTCACCTCCATCCCTCCCTCTCTCTCTCAAGGGTGTATGAATGTTATTTTTGTCACTCAGGTTTGTGACTTTTTAAATCTTTGTCTTGCTAGAGCTTCTGCGCTTTATCAAATGCCTCTAGCCTTATTAGTTAACTTTTCAAGTGTTTTAAAAACAAATTTAATCAACTTATTTAGAATTTTACAAAACAACTCAGCTAACATTTGAAATAAAATTTGAGTACTTTCTCTTAAAACTGAGGTTGGAATCAAATACATATGAAATGTTAATGCGACATATATATATATATATATATATATATATATATATATATATATATATATATATATATATGTATGTATGTATGTATGTATGTATGTATGTATGTATGTATGTATATATATATATATATATATATATAACAAGTTCTGCAATGCTTCAATGTATATTTGAATTACTTAAAAAGAATGAAAAGGAAAAAAAAGAAATTACAATGCTAGCTCATTGAGTCTAAAACAACAGAGTGTGTCTGTGTGTGTGTTTATGTGTAATAAGAGAACTTGTGGCACCCCAAACATAGGGATTAATTTGAGGAATTGAAATATCATAGCTATTGCTTGCCTTTGCAAGCTGGTAGGTGTGCAGAAGGTATGTGAGCAAAGACAATGGAATGAGGAGCCACATTTATTAGCTGGTGCAAAGCGTAAGCTAATGGCTGGATTATTGGGATTTCTCCTGACACCGAATTAACTTCAAGTTTCTTCCCATTTAGTTGCACTGTTTGGCTGTGTAAATCGCCATCCGGTGCTGTCAAATGGTACTCTTGTCTTGGCTCTGGCTTACGGCTCGTCATGTGAATTCGCGAAGTGTTCACCGTGATGTTTCGCTTGTCATCTAGGTTCATCAGCAACATGGTGATCCCTCCCTGCAATTCATAAGAGGCAAGCAATATAAGACATTGTTTAATTCGTTGCTGCTAATAATTCTATGTATAAATTTGTCTTAATGATTAATTTCGTCTTACAAGTTTCTTTGCACAATGCGTAAAAGCCCGTAGTTTCTTTGTCCCTTCAAAGCTTGTGTTGAGCGATTTCTCTCCCATCAATCGGTCCCATAGAAGAGCACTGCAGTCGTTGCACCAAGGTAATAAATAAATAAAGAGCAATAGAGCGAAAAATATAAAATGACGAACAATTTTTTTCCCCTTCAACTCCCATAGTCAAAAAGACCTGTAGTAATCTGGATTGGGATGAAAGGTAGTGGCGTTGAGTAAACCGTAGTTTCCTCCTACTAGTGTCTGCCTGCAGTATACTTTGGTATTGTACGAGGCCGACATCCCAAGCTGGTTGAGATACCTGCAAGACATATTATACTGGTGTCAGGAAACCAACTCAACCAAAAGTTCGTTAAAGCTTCCGGTTGTAGGCCCAGGAAACGTTTCCATATTCTAAGAATTGGGTATTATATCATGAATTACCAGAAGCTAGAAACAAAGGTGTTTGACACATTTGGTCCTCCGCTGTTATATGCCCCTCCAGCCTCGCCAACCCAAGCCTGCACTTTAGTTCCATGGACCAGGCCACGCAATTGCTTCAATATATTCGTGTCTCCATCAAGAACCCCAGGGTCAAGGATTCTATTTGTCAGGTTCAAATCGCTTCCTGTTCATTCATTTCACCACACATTGGGATATCATTGTGTATATGTAATTGACGGTTTCTACCCCCTAACCCCCCGGTAAACCCCCCGCCCCGATCCGAACACACCCCTCCACCCCCTTCCAATTGCACCCCACAGTTTAATTTCGACTTTGGAGTCATGGCAATGTCATAGGAATCGTCCCGATATATATAGTATATTCGTGCTTAAACTTTACTAAAAATACCTGCACCAAGATCATATATATGGTGAGTGGCCGCGTCCAAGGAGTGATTTGCTTTCTGCAAGTATTTTTTGAACCATTCTTCATCAAAGAAACCACCTGGTGCCATGACTATTGGACGGGTTTTAGGATCCTTGTAAAGGTTTTTGACTATCCTGTGAAGATGGATGGTGTCATTAGCATACACATCTGCTGGAATTTGTCTCCCTATCGCGCTTCGTCCAACCAACTCGTTCCCTGGTGATCAACGATATGAAAGGAAAAGATAGAAAACCTTTAACAAAGATCGAAAAGTACGTGTTGTTAAGAACATATGTTGTTCTACCCCAATCCCTGAATCGAGAGCTATGATAAAAAACAAGTGTTGATTCTGTTGGAAAGTGCCCGAAAACAAATCTCTGAGGGCTTTAACCCAGAGCGGACAATATGATACTAATGCAGGATTGGTGTGAGGATTCACGCAGTCCCAACAAATGTGTGTGTAGTTATTAAGAAGAGGGAAAAAGAAAATCGTCACGAGAGGTCTTTCATACCCAACTCCCAGCCGTGGATATGATACCGCTTGTCGAGAGAATATGTCATGAGAAATTTGGCATTGGTTGAATTCCATGACCCAGTAGTAGCAATGTCACTACTGCCTGCTTCCATTCTTCTTCCAGAGAGTGCATTCAACCCAAATGTGATAAAAGCTCTAAGTAATGTAAAACACAAGTTACTGTTAGGATAAATTTAAACAATAACTGAGGAACAAATTATTAAATGTTGTACTTTGGATTACCCTGATTTGATGAAGAACTCATTCAGTTCATCCCATCTAGACAGAGGTAAGCACCCCTGAGTGAAGGAAAACAATTTCGTCTCGTCCAAACGAAATGGTTTGCACAGTTCCGAACGATTGGTTTGGTAGACGACCTTATCTTGCAAAGTGCCGCCCAGCCTAATTTTCAGTCTAGAGAATGCTGCAACCAAGGACATCAAAAGTAAAATAAACCTCCAATTTTTGAATTTAAATCATGCAAAAACTGGGATTTTTTTGAACTTACCTTTTATTGCATTTAGCAAAACACTATTGTTGAGATTCTGCACACATAACATATGAAACAAACCCATCAAGTTGATGATTAGAGACCCAGAAATTACAACATTTTGGGAAAATAATTAGGTGCAGTTTCACAAATTATACCAAAGTTAGGAGAGTGGCATTGGCCCAAGGGCAGTTTTTCTTCTCATTGCACTTTTCTTTTGGCCACCAATCCAAAGTTGCACAGATGAAATTTGTGTCTGTTGTCCCAATGGCGCTTTCGCCGTTCACGTGGACCGTCACGTTAAAGACATCGTCGCCAAGACTCGTTCCGTACCCAGAAACAAAGCTGATAAAGATGAACACCCATAATGCCCAATTGCAAAACCATGAATTCCCACCCATTGGTGATGAGTAGTAGTCCAGGAAAACAATTTATATTTGCACTGTGTTCTGTTTATTCTTCATATGGGCTATATATATACACACATTTGATATGTCATTTTTAGAACTATGTGTATGGGTAAGGTCAAGAGGAAAACTGGAAAGCAACTTTACAAAAGTGTATATACATATGACTTGCTGGTAAACTTGCCAGCTATTACAGTTTATAATTAATGGATGTTTTAACCATTTCTTTAAAAGGGTTTCTTTAATGTTCTTTTAAATAAAGAAAAGAAAGGAAAATTAGTTTCTCATTGTTCCAGAAGGTGAAATGGTTCGCCCCGGGCGCCCCTCACCCCTGCCCGACAGGATTGTGAGAGGAGATAAATCATAATGGCTCAACCGGCAATAAAAGTTGGGTTCATTTTTTGAGAGGTTGCTCTCAAAGTGCCACGGGTGAGGCCAGAGATCTTTAATCGCCTGTATTATTTGGTTTCTCAAAATGTGGTATATGAAGAGGGGAAGGGAAAGTGGCAACTCAGTTACTCCGTATTTGGAAAGCAAAGGTAATATGGAATGATGTGCAATGAGTTGGGGGTGGGGACCATCACATTTGCCGCTAGCAGCTTTGCTCTCTACAAATTAAGAATGAGGGCTTTCTCTCTTGGTCTCAATATAATAAGAAATCAATTATAAATACTCCTCCGTCCCTGAGTATTTTTCTACTTTTGATTTTTTTTTTGTCAAAATTGATAAAATTTGACCTCAAATTAAATAAAAACGATATTAGATATTCATAAAAAAATAGTTTTATTAGATTTATTAATATACAGGTAAAATTAGATATTCATAAAAAAATATTATTTTATCTAATTAATATACAATATATATATATATATATATATTATTTAATTATAAGTCAAGGGTTAAAAACAGTTGACCGGAAAAAGTTAAAATTGGACAAATACTCAGGGACGGAGGTAGTATGTTTAAAAGATAGAAAATATACTAAAATAAAGCTTCATGTTTTTTCCTTAAAATAGGAGTTTTTTTATAGTCTTAAAATAGGAGTTTGTACTATTGTAATGTGGCACTGTATATAAATATTTTACAATCTAGTTTAGTGACGTATATGGTTATGATTTACATTGTATATGCATTTTAACTACTATTTTTAAAATAAGAATATGAAACTCCTATTTTGATATGTTTTCAATGTTTTACTTCTATTTTAATCTTTTTTCTACAATCTGATTGGATTTTTGGATCTTAGGTGATTTTAATAAAGTTTTATCTGGTATGACCTAATATGATCTAATTGTAATAATGTTTGAAGTTGTTTTTTATCCGATCTGGTATGATCTTATATTATCTAATTTGGTATGATATTATCCGATCTAATTTAGTTTAATCTGTTTTTTATAAGAATAAGTAATAAGAATAAATTGAAAAAAAAACTATGGTTACCCATATGGACGCCTCCTCATTCTATACATATATTCTCTCCATCCCTAAAAAAATTGCCACAGTTTGATATTTTTGGTCAAACGGTGGCACCCTTTGACCACGAATCAAATATAGTTTAAAATAATTAAATGTTATAAATATTTGATATTTCACAATTGTTATTTAAAATAACCCCAATTTTACTAAAATTTTCTTATAACTAAATATTCGTTTTCCATAATTCGCGGTGAAAGAATGTTACAATTTGACCGAAAAGTCAAACTGTGACAATCTTTTAAGAACGGAGGGAGTATATTAAAAAAATCATTGTGATGTGGATAAGGGGATTGTGAAGGGACGATGTCAGGGTGGGGGTTTATGAGGGGGTCATGAAGGTTGGAAACCGTCAATTTTACGAACTGAGCATCATAGATGGTCGAATTGAGGTGGTGCCACGAAATTACACCTGATTGTGTAATTCTACAATTTCTGTTTAAAAAATTGTTGAAAAATGCTAGGGGTACACCAAGGTGTACCCCTAGCATTTTTCTATTAAAAAATACAAAAAAAATTGAAAATCTTAAGGTTGGAAGCTGAATTTAGGTTGGAATGATATCACTAATTACGGAGTAATATTTTGTCTGGAATCCATTAAATTTTACCTAATCCACCGTATAATGAAATCTACCAAAATATATATGGAATTGAACTATTTAAGTCTTGAAAAAATGATTAGAATTATATAAAATCACTAAATTTTCAAATTAATTTTATTCAATGAATGACTTTCAAGTCTTTACTTTTTTTTCAGACATTCAAAATTTCAAATAATTCAAGTCTATTAACTTTACAGTGAAGAGAACAAGGAAAGTGACTTAATTACTATTCAGGTATAAATTGGACTTCAAAAAACACGGAATCATTATAGCTCTAATGCTTTTTTTACTCCGTACCAAAATGCTACGAATTCATTACGAATTCTTCCACACATCACAATTACAGATTCTTTATACATACATAAATACTCTGTAACAATCATCTATTCTCTTCGTCCAAAAATGTTCTTCACATTTGACTTCTTGCGGTTTCCAAGATTGCACTTTGATCACTAATATCTTTATTTATACATGGATATATTTTTAAGAAAATTGATATTTAAAAACTATATTTCAAAAGGAATATATTTGCAACGAAAATATATTTCAAAAAAAATACACATGCCACGCAGCCAAATTTAAAGTCTTCGCATTGAGTTTTGATGATATACCCGGCAAGTACGTCGTAGTTTCTAAGTCCATTTCTATCTCCATCTTGTAATGCACGTTTAGACCATGTAACATTGTACAGGCCTGTTTGGGAATAGCGTTAGAGATTAGCGTTAGCGTTTTGGAAAAGCTATATACGGCCAGCGTTTAGCGTTAGCGTTTTCAAAGTAATCTGCACCGTTAAAATTTTATTCAAAACGCTAACGCTAATCTCTAACGCTTTCCCAAACAGGCCCTACATTTACATTTTACTAAACTTTTTCGTAATATATTTGGTCTTGACTAATAATGTAAATTCTATTTTAATAATAAAAATATGAATTCTTATTTTGGCATATTTTCAATGTTTTATTCTTATTATAGTCTTTTTTCCATGTTCTAAGCTCCTTTGGTGCATGCCATGTCAAAAGACTCATTTTGAATAACAAAAGTGTAATGGTTCATGCCCCATTTCAACCATTACACAATGTTTCAAATTTTACCTCTTTTTACTCAACTATTTTTAAAATTAAAATTACTCTTGAAAAATAATTACTAAAAACATACGGAGTAATAATTCTTTAAAAATTATAAAAGTACTTAACTACTATACTACGTAATACATAGAACATTTTAGTATATTAAAATTGAAAAAATTGCATAACTAATTAATAAAAATAAAATATTTCATTTATTACCATCGAGACCATATATTTCTTTGATTCGATCATGCAATTTCAAGGTTAGGTCATGCTGCAGTCTTGGAGAGGACTAGAGGTGGCGATGGGTTTAGACAACATCTCGAGATCAACAACCATTTTGTCGATCCTTTCTCAGTTGAATACGTTCTTGTCGATATTCTTCTTCTTCTTGCTTGTGCTCTAAATTTTGTTTTTTTTTATATTGACTAACGCTTCTAATCTTTGATTCATTTCTACAAATTAAACCATTTGTTGTAGTCCACACCGAGCGATGATGTTGTTTGTTTTTATATTGCCCCACCACTCCTCGGCTCCTCCCGGCCAGACATGTCGGTTCTTCATATATCGGTTCTTCCTCTGCCACGTATTTGTCCTAAGGCTCATTCAAGTTGATATTAACCCGAGTGTAGGAAGATTGACGTACTCAATGATTGGGTGGACGAAGATGTTTTTGACTTCTTTGATGATCGAGTACGTATTAGGTAGCGGGACGATCGAGATGCCTCTTTCAGCTTTTCCTTGAAAGATCCCAAGGTTTAATGTAGCCAAACGGCCCTTTCTTGGCTGGCTGTGAATTCATTCAAAGCTTCTTGTTGGTGTTGATATTACAGCGGGAATAAAATGAAATAAAATAATCCGAACTTATAATCCGTTCGGATTTTACAACGAAAATAAATAAAAAGAGAAAATGGGAGTCTTCGGAAGCTCGAACATGAACGGACAGGATCACGAACACGGACGGGGAGAAGGAGGAATGCGAACAGCAACTGCGTCGGATGAAAAACAGAGGGTCGCCGGAGCTGTTTCAGGAAGCGTAGGTTAGGAAAGCGGAGTCGCCGGAGCTTTCCTTAAGGTAGTATTGCCCGCCTCCCGCAATGGCAAACGTGGGCAATCTCCTCCCAGGATAAAACCGCAGCGTGCTAAGTCTAGAGCGGTAGAACAAAGCACCGGCGAACGAGAATGACGGAAAGTTATCACCAGAGAAGATGATCGGAAACGGGGATTAGTCGAAAAGCTAACAGTAACGCAGAGAGGTTTTTTTTCCCGAGTGTGTATCTCTTCCCTGCAGCCAAGCCCTCCTTTTATAGGAGGGAAGTTGGCTCTTCATTGGACCGGACGGAGATTACGAGGCGTCACTGCCACTCTCTTCGCCTCCCTGTGCATGCATGCTCCTTGGACGGTACTTCGTTAATCACGAAGTGTCCACGCATGTTCAACTCGGTCTCGCAAAAAATTAGCCCTGACACGCCGCAGACGCGCCTCGCCCCGCCTCGCCCCGTCCCGTCCTGTCCCGACCCCCGCGCGCGTGACGTGCTAAGCCGGATTGACCGTTGCATTGAAACCCACATTTGGTCCAAAGTTGACCGTCGAGGCTGAAGCCATAGTCGGTCCGAGAAACGGGTTTGAATTACCAAGGAGATAATCCCCCGGGGTTTTGAGTCCAGGAATGGGTCGAGGGGCCGACCTGAAGATCGAGCTCGGCATCGAGAATGACGTCATGGTTGCGGCCCCCACACTTGACCCGAAGGGCAGCGGTGAGGACGGCACAACCATGGCAACCGAAGAGGTTTCCACCGGAATTTCGGAACTCATCCCGTTACTGGAGAAACCCACGATGCCGAATCCGAACTCCATGAGTACTACCTTAAGATTGTTGATATTACAGCGGCAATAAAATGAAATAAAATAATCCGAACTTATAATTCGTTCAGATTTTACAACAAAAAAATAAAAAGAGAAAATGGGAGTCTTCGGAAGCTCGAACACGAACAGACAAGATCACGAACACGGACGGGCAAAAGGAGGAACGCGAACAGCAACTATGTCGGATGAAAAACAAAGGGTCGCCGGAGCTGTTTCTGGAAGCGTAGGTTAGGAAAGCGGAGTTGACGGAGCTTTCTTTAAGGTAGTATTGTCCGCCTCCCCCACTGGAAAACGTGGGCAATCTCCTCCCAGGATAAAACCGCAGCGTGCTATGCCTAGAGCAGTAAAACAAAGCACCAGCGAACGAGAATGACGGGAAGTTATCGCCGGAGAAGATGATCGGAAACGGGGATTAGTCGGAAAGCTTTCAGTAACGTAGAGAGGTTTTTTTTCCGAGTGTGTATCTCTTCCCTGCAGCCAAGTCCTCCTTTTATAGGAGGGAAGTTGGCTCTTCATTGGACCGGACGGAGATTACGAGGCAACACTGCCACTCTCTTCGCCTCCCTGTGCATGCATGCTCCTTGGACGGCACTTCGTTAATCACGAAGTATCCACGCGTGTTCAATTCAGTCTCGTAAAAAATTAGCTCCGCCACGCCCCGACGCGCGCGCGTGACGTGCCGAGCCAAACGGACGGCGGCGGCAGCGGCGCGCGAGCAGTCCTCTTCTTGTTCCTTTCATAAGCTCAATTAAATGCCTAAGATTAAATATGAGAATACGAAAGGTTCAAAAACCGGTGTGGGACAAGGGTTTTTACTCTTCCCTCATAGTCAACTTTGAGAATTAATTTCTCATTCACCCGAGCACTGTTTATGGCGTGTGATATGTCAAGATATTCATCTTACTTACAAGATTAAACGTCCATAATTATTTCGGAAAATAATTTTGTGGACCCTACCGAATTTAAATCCGAAAATGTCCAATTTATCAAAAAATTCCAACAGTTGGATGTGAGCATCCCAAGTTAGTCTTCACTCTCTTGTAGATGGTGTTGTATTTGGTTACTTTGATTTCACTCGCTTATCTCTCCACTTGTTCGTTCTTTGATCCGGAGTACGGTAGTCGTCCGGTTTAATTACCAATTTGTGTGAAAAACTTGTTCTGGATTCTTGACCAAAACTCATTAACTTGATAGTTCAATTTGCTAAAAAAAATAAAAAACATAAAATAAATATATTCTTAGTAAAGAAAAAAATATTAGCATTAAATTATACTCATAACAATGTTATAAAGCAATAAAAATAAAACTATTTAGCAATTATTTTAATAATAGAAAACAAAGAAATGTTCAAAAAAGTTATTTACCAATGTTAGGGTCCTCGGATATGTTGAGCCAAGCACAAGCCAAAGCATATTCTTTGTTTGATGACCACGCCGTATGTGTACGCTTGACCCTCAGCTCATTGGGATTTTTTTGTGAAATTTGCACCGAATAGGACTAAAACATAACTCATTTCCTAATGTAGGACTTAAACTTTTATATTTCCTAAATAGGACTTAATAATGACTAGTGAGAATTGAAGAATAATGTCCAACTGATGCTGCATATCTAGTTGAAAAATGACTAATATATAATGATCAATGGTCTTACATTGAAAAATAAAAACATATATATTGAGAAAGTCATTATGTTTTAGTCCTATTTAGGTAAATTACCTATTTTTTTCTTGTGTGACCGTTTCCAAAGTTGTGACGGTACTGCTTTGTCCGGTTGTGTCACGGGCACTACCTCCGGTTGTGACTCCAGAACACTTGCAGGTTATTGCGTTTGAACTTGTAGGAGAAAACCCATGACGTTTTGTTGAAAACTGAAAGTATTCATCGAAATATTTTGTATCATGCTAAAAAGCTTATGATATTGAATGTCGCCTTTATCTAAAAATCTTACCAATTGGATAATTTGTTAGCGCCATTTGGGTGTATGGTGCGGTGGTGGTATTTGGACGGGTTGTGGCTTGTCGCGGTGCTCGAAAATTCTAATTGTATGAATCTCCATAGGGATGCATCTTGATATATATTTTTAGAGAATGTGTATGAGAATGTAAAAATATAAGAGACTAGAGAAGTGTATAAGGATTGTGTATGTAAAAATGGTGAGATCAATAAGTTTAAATAGGTAAACAAATAGGTAGAATTGTTTTTGAATTTAATGATTTGACCATTTGCAACGGCTAGATCATTGGGCTTCACAATTGTTTGCCATTTATTTGCAACGGCAATTTTTGTTGCATTTTTATATTATCCGTTGCTAATGTTGATTGCAACGGAAGTTCTGTTGCAATTTTTCCGTTGCAAAAATCATTGTTGCAGATTCACTACTGCGACGGATTTTCCATTGCAAAGCAATACATCAAAAATTTGCAACGCAATTTTTGTTGCACAATGTTGCTATGGAAAAATTGCAACGAAAATGTCTTTGTTAGCGTTGGCAACGGAAATTCGGTTGCAACATAGTGCAACAAAATTTTGCAGCTATTCTTTCTGTTGCAAAATTTTGCAACGGAAAAAAGCAATAGAAATTTCAAAGCTGATATTTGTCACGAAAAATATTTATTTGCAATAGAAAATAATATCTCGATCGCAACGAAATATTTCGTTACAAAAGTTGAAAAAAACCAAGACGTACTATGTGCATGCTCAATTTCACACAAATTAAACCATCAAATGTAGGAGGGATACTCAAATATACTCAAACACATGCGTATTCCACAAAATAAGAGTTTCAATATTTTCCATGAACCTTAATGTACTTGTCAAATATCCTAATAATCATATCTATTGTTTTGCATTAAACAATTAAACCATAAGCTAACATACTAGTGCACTTCCATCACCGTCTGCTCCATCTTGTCTACAGGGCAAACGATCTACAAACAATCTAAGCATATGATCTAGTATTGTTTGGATAATTTTGGCCTAGGGCAGCTTGGCCCACTCGTGGACCTACTTTGAGTCCATCCTTCATCTAAAAGTATTTACATTCATATGTATTAGTGCTCATACTAAGCCTCTTTATTATAAATATATCTTTTGTCATTCAATATACACGAAGAAAAACAGATATAATATATCTATAAATAATCTCTGAATTCTACTCTCATTTCTTAAAACCATGATGCATAATGTGGCGGTGGAGGCGGTATCATCTAAGGCTGTTGTCAAGGGAAAACGGTGACGACTATGATCTCTTGTAGTGCGGCGCTGCAGTGAGAAGTGTCTGACGACGACAGGTTGTGGGGGAGCCGCTGTTGCTGAATTCCTTTTACGGAGTATATCTAGGGTTGCCAGAGGTTGTGACTTAGAATCTATGAGCGCGTGAGCCGAACTTTTCTTTTTATTATTAATTTAATCCTATTTTGCGGTTAAAAACATTAGAATCCTATTTTTGCACATTCTTCATTTAGTATGTATTTTTCCCAAAAAAAAATTAATAATACGGAGTAATAATTATAATCCATTCCACGTGGTACCTGTTAATTCGTTTAGACAGGTACCAAAGGTACACGTCACGCTCAGATACGAAATCGCCTTCACGCTCGTCTTCGTCTTCATCAGTGCCGTCAACACGGATCCTCTGGTTCGCAGACCACAATTCGTCTTTTCTTCCATCTAATTTTTCTTATACTGCCCTAGGGTTCGCAATTTGCAACTAGGAGAAATAAAAATGAAGATGAATTTCGCATGGAGTTGTGTCTTACTTCTATCCTCCAATCTTTTGTACGGCGTTATTTTCGCCAATCAGATCTTCCATCCACATACAGGTTTCAAAATGTGATCATGATATTCTTAATTTCTTGCAAATATGTACTCCATCTGTTCCTAATTAGTGTTCTTTGTTTGACTTACAATTAGATTGAGAATGAATAAGAATGGTGTATAAATTTGTATGGGGTTTTTATTGATGAGAAAGAAATGAGCTGAATTGATGGAAACGTTGTTAAAGAATTTTTAGGAAAGTTTGATGGGTGGGAAAAGAATTGCAAACAAAGAAGTATGAACATTATTATAAAACAACAAGAAAAGAAAGCGAACTTATCAACACAAGTGGTATTTTTTATGGCCCTGCTTGGGAAGAGCGTTAGCGATTTGGATAAAATTTTAATGGTGTAGATTAATTCTGAAAACGCTAACGCTAAAGGTTACCATCGGATGGCCTTTTCAAAACGCTAACGCTAATCTCTAACGCTGATATCAAACGGGACCTATGTTAAGCTCGTGTCTGTTGAACATTTGGTTTCTACTCAAACAACCACATAATGTTTGATCGTTAACTTCTCATTTCATCAGGTGATTGCACACAGCATTCGTTGGGCTATCTATCACCCTTTCATTTGTTGTGACTAGGTTTTTAGTTTTGTTCAAAACGTTGACTGTATTTCATATCAAGATGCTTTTGGATGGGTCTAGAGTTTACAAGTATTATTATGCCCTTCAACTATTTTTCTCACTTTTGATGTCAGGAGGGACTCTTGGTCGAAGCTCTAAAGAACCAAAATACAAGATAGAATTTCATCCAGAAGACTCACCTTTTCACCCAGTAAGTTATTCTGCTAACCCATTGTAATCTAAGTCCTTTTAAATGTGTTCTTCGCCATCCTTGAAAGGAAAGTGGATGTTCTTTCATTGGTATTCTTTGTTGCTTTATACTTTATAGTATATTGTTATCATAGGTCTGACATTTTATGTCATGGAGGAACTGCACTCTTCTCTTGACACAAAGTTTAGTTACATCGTTGTGGCTTTTCTAATTGATCAAGTTAGTATGATGCATTAGTTCAATGGGCCAGTCTGTACATTTTGTGTTGCAGGATGATGATCAGGAAGCTGTTGTCATGCCCAACAATAAAGGAGAGAAGTTTCTTTGTTTTCTGCCCAAAGTGCATAATTCAAAAAGCAGTAAACTAGTCAGTCAACAGAATACAAGCAGTTTGATCTTGGAGACTGAGAAACACATAAAACCAAAGACACCTGATGAGCTACTTGATGTGCTTAAGGATGCATGCCTTCTCAGGGTTAGTATATCTGGAACTACTCTTTTCACTTATGCGTGAGATTTAGAGAGTATGTTCTAAAAACAAAAATCAATATCGTAAAAGATGGATCAAATTATGGATTGCTTGGTGTTTTTTTTGCCATTATGCCCCCGTATTTTACTTACAACTTCAATATTTCCCAGCAAGAGGGGTGGTGGTCATATGAATTTTGTTACCAGAAAAAGCTACGCCAAATTCATGTGGAGGATGAGAAGGTATTCTTCATTTGCCTGTTAGTGGTTCCCACAGTAATTATTAGGTTTATTTGTCTGACTTTTAATTCTTTTATTCAAAACTTTGATCTTTTCACTAATAGTTTGCTCACCACATTAGCTATATTTCATGCTTTACTAGCATACTTACCATGCTATATAATTTAAAACAGTTTAACCCCATTTTTTGTTCTACTCTTGTTTTATACTCCGTATGTGATTATATTTCTCTGTTTTTAAATCCCATGTGTCCTTTTCTGGTAATCTAAACTCAATCCAGACATGTGTTCTTTTGCTTCTGAGTCTTATAGGTGGTACAAGAATTTGTCTTGGGGTACTATGACAGTGAGGCAACTATGGCTTATAATGAGAACCGGTCTGATATTTCTACATTAAAAGATCCCCGTTCAAAAGATTCTTCGCAAAGGTATAAATTCACATACAAGAAGTTGTAGATGAACCAGTGATTAGAGTTATTTACCCAACGCAAAGACCCTTAGCATAAAACTTACCCTGGATTTATTTTCTTTGCCATCAGAAATTGGTTTTATTGATTTTATTCTGTATGCAGATATCATGCTCATTTGTATACAAATGGAACTGTCTGTGATTTAACAAACCAGCCACGAGAAACAGAGGTATAAATGTGACTCTTGATTTGTTTTCTTTATACATGTGTGTGTGTACTTATGAAAGTTTTGTCTTCAGGTGAGGTTTGTTTGCTCAGAGCCAAGGGCTATGATAAGTTCCATCACCGAGTTGTCCACTTGCAAGTATGCCCTCACTGTTCACTGTCCAATACTCTGCAAGCACCCGTAAGATTCCCATTGTCGTTCTTAAAAGCGTCCTTATAAATTTGACATTGTTGTCTTCCAATAAACCACATATGTCCAGTTTCCATGACGGAATTTCTGGTTTGGGCAGTCTTTTTCAGGAAGAAAGACCGGAGTGGCACACCGTTAACTGCAATGTACTCCCTAAAGATAACAAAGAGATGAAGATGCCGGAGGAAAACCCACGAGGAGAAAGGATTAGGATGGTAACAGATCTCGAGTATCCCTCCAGCCCCACATTTGATTCAGAAGAATACGCAGCATAAAAAGTTTTTGAAGTTTTTTTTTCCCGTCTTGCTTCATTGCTCAATCACAGTATTACATACTACCTTCTTCTTTATCCCTCGTGACTCGTGTATTTAGATGACATGCAAGGTGAATTCTTATAATGTAACCAAATTTACTAGTAATTTAATCTACCTGTCATTCATGGTTGTGAAGTTTGGACTCCTATTATCAGGCTATCTGTAAAGGGCCGCGACCCTATGTTTGTGATGGGGCGGTCACAGGCGTGTTCCGCCTCCCTCGCGTGTTGCGTTTTCCCCTTCCCAACAGGA